CTCCTTTATCAGCTCAGCTACATAGCTACTTCTCAACAGCTGGACTCTGTCCATCTTAACATCCATCGGCCCCCCTTCTCACTCCTTCTGGGAACTCTCTACAGCCTTCCTGGAAACCAGGAAGCCTACCAAGATCCTCACAGAAGAACAGGGAGTTTATCTCTGACCATACTTAGGCTTTAACTAGGATTCTAAGTATTAATTATATAACCACTTACATAAGCTCATTGACCACCTCACATGAACTTAATAAACACATAATCACTCACTCTTCCTTACACAAGCTAATACCAAATAAGGTCTATATGAGCTACATACTGTTTTATTACCTATTTCCTCTGGAATCTGGTTTATTTTTCACCACTACATAAGCATAAGTGGTACAAACAAGAAAAATACAAGCACACATGTTCTTAAAGAGCCGAACATTTTGATACCTGAATGGTTTTTCTAGGTGAAAGTATGCTGAAGAAATTAAGTACCAAAAAACGGATGCAAGAAATCAGAATAACAAAGAAGAGGATAACAATAGTGTGGATGCTTACTCAGCATCCACACAATAATAAAAAGAAAAAAAATGGTGGGGCTGCTAAACCATCCATACAATAAAGAATAGGATAACATAGTATGGATGCTTCACAGCATCCACACAATAATAAAGATTAGGATAACATACTGTGGATGCATTTCTCTATCCACACAATAATTGGATAACATAGTGTAGATGCTTTGCCGCATCCACACCATAAAGAACAGGAGAACATAGTGTGGATGTTAAGCATCCACACAATAAGAAATGGGTCACAGGAATACAACCATAAAATCAGTGTGTTGTAGAATGCGTGGTTTCTCATCTTTTCATTCAAGCTTCTCTCTCTATTTGACTGTGTAGACGGGAGAGTTACGAACGAAGATGAGTCAGTCTCATGAGGATAGCTTGACCAGTGTTGCCTGGAATCCAGATGGCAAACGCTTTGTCACTGGCGGCCAGAGGGGCCAGTTCTACCAGTGTGTGAGTATTTTTAACAGAACACACATTATGTTTGTTATGTGGCAGGCAGGGCTAATTTACAGACATTATTTTAGCAAGAAGAAAACATACACTACCATTGCCAGTCCAGTTACCAAGCCCAGTCCAGCTCACAGTTTGTCTGATATTGATGCTATGATGATGGTGTACTTTGAAAACATGCTATAAATGTGTTTTCCTTCCTTTTGCCTGATTTAAATGCTAACGTGCTGCTTGTATCCACAAGAGGAACCTTGGATATGTAATTAAAGTGCCATAGCCCTTTATCAAACACTGAAGCTCTTGATTTGAGTTTATCTGGGATGATACATAAAAATATGGTTTTAAGATGGCGCCGACAGCAATGGCAGCCTTGGTTACTTGCGCTCTCTTGTGTTTGTTGTTTTTCTTTGTTTTCTCAATGTTTTGCAACCCATCCCAGATTACTTTTAAAAGAGAGGAACTGTTAAATATCAGACAACTCACGCCAAACTACCTTTCTCCGATTTTTTTGAACGAAGAATGCTGTATGGACATTCTGATTGGAGGCGCAGTGGCAATCTACGGGATCTGGAAGAAACACTGGCACGTGGCACTTAGTGAGCCACCTAGCAAATCTCCCCTCCCTGGTCAACAAGATGGATGAAATTCTTCTCCTCAACAGGACTAACTGACTTTGCATGCTCTGCTGCTTTGTGCTTCACGGAGGCCTGGCTGAGCGACTCCATCACGGACAGCGCAATACAAGTACCAGGCTTCCGGGTGTACAGAGTGGATCGCGTAATGGAGCTGTCTGGGAAAACGAGCTGGAATCTGTTTCTACTTAAATGAAGGTTGGTGGACAGATGTCACAGTGCTACTGAGGACATGTAACACAGACCTAGAGACTCTTGTTATCAATTGCAAACCTTTTGCAAACTGCAAACCTCCCTGTGAATTTAACAGCTTCATTCTAATTGGAGTGTACATAAAACCACAGGCCCATGCTAGGCAGAACAGATAACTAGCCTGGAGCTAGAACATCCAGACTCTCCACTCATTGTTCTAGGGGACTTTAACAGGGCAAATCTCTCCCACAAACTGCCCAAATACAGACAGCATGTTACCTTTCCCACCAGGGACCAAATCACACTGGACCACTGCTACACAACAATAAAAGATGCCTATCACTCTGTCCCCCGTGCAGCCCTCGAACTCTCTGATCACTGTATCTTCCATCTTATTCCAACCTACAGGCAGAAACTTAAAGCTGCGAAGCCTGTAGTCACAACAGTGAAGAGCTGGACTGAGGAGGCTAAGTCAGAGCTACAGGCCTGCTTTGACTGCACAGACTGGAGTGTATTTGAGACTGCAGCTACAGACCTTGATGAACTCAGTGACACTGTGTTATCTTATATCAGCTTTTGTAACAATATGTGTGTGCCCAAAAAGTCCTGCACATACAACAGGAACAAGCCCTGGTTCACAGCAAGACTCAAGCAGCTTCGTCCTGCCAAAGAGGAGGCCTACAGAAGTGGGGACAGGACTCTGTACATCCCAGGCCAGGAACACATTGACAAGGGAAATCAGAGCAGCAAAGAGGAGCTACTCTGAAAAGATGAAAGCTCAGGTTTCAGCCAATGACCCCTCCCTGTTCTGTGTGGGGGAGCCTGAAAAACATAACTGGCTATAGGAAATCATCCCCCCTGCTGTGGAGGACCATCCACTAGCAGACAACCTGAATGTGTTCTACTGCAGGTTTGACAAACAACACTCCCCCCTCACCCTCCCCACCTCAGATCCAGCCGCTGCTCCCCCAACAATCTCCACCCTTCCCTCCAGCCCCCCACCTCTAAAGATCTGTGAAAAGGATGTATGTGGCCTCTTTAAAAATCAAAAGATCAAAAAGGCACCAGGCCAGGATAGCGTGACCCCCCCTCCTGCCTGAAAGTGTGTGCTGATCAGCTGGCCCCATCTTCACACTTATTTTCAACAGGTCACTGGAGCTATGTGAAGTCCCCTCCTGCTTCAAATGCTCCACCATCATTCCAGTCCCCAGTCTATCAGTGGACTGAATGACTACAGACCTGTCGCCATGACATCTGTAGTTATGAAGTCTTATGAAAGACTGGTGTTGGCCCACATGAAGGACATCCGTTAACCCCCTGCTGGCCCCCGGCAGTTCGCCTACCGGGCAAACATCTCAGTGGACGATGCAGTTAACATGGCACTGCATTACATCCTGCAACACCTCGACTCCCCAGGGACCTATGCACAAAGAGGGCCCCTCTTTGTGGACGTCAGCTTGGCATTCAACACCATCATCCCGGACACCCTCCACTTCAAACTGACCCAGCTCATTGTGCCTGCCCCCACCTGTCAGCAGATCACTAGCTTTCTGACAGACAGGAAGCAGCAGGTGAGGCTGGGAAAAACCACATCCAGCACCCAGACAATAAACACAGGCGCCCCCCAGGGATGTGTGCTCTCCCTTCTGCTGTTTTCACTCTACAATGACTGCATCTTGAAGGACCCCTCTGTCAAGCTCCTAAAGATTGCTGATGATACAATGGTCATTGGTCTCATTTGAGATGGTGACGAGTCAGCCTACAGATGGGAGGTTGAGCAGCTGGTCCTGTGGTTTAGCCGCAACAATCTGGAGCTGAACATGCTCAAAACAGTGGAGATGACAGTGGACTTCAGGAAGACTCCCACCCCTCACCATACTTGGCAGCACTGTATCAGCAGTAAAGTCCTACAAGTTCCTGGGCTCCACTCTCTCCCAGGACCTGAAGTGGATGTCCAACATCAGGACCATCATCAAGAGGGCACAGCAGAGCATGTACTTCCTGCACCACCTCATGAAGTTCAACCTGCCCCAGGAGCTGCTAATACAGTTCTACAGAGTAATCATTGAGTCCGTTCTCTGCACCTCCATCACTGTCTGGTTTGGCTCAGCAACCAAACAGGACAAGTACAGACTTCAGTGGACAGTTAGGACTGCAGAAAAGGTCATTGGTGCAAGCCTGCCCTCCATGGAGGACCTGTACACCTCACAGCTCACGAGGAGGGCAGAGAAGATTTCTGCAGACCCCTCACACCCTGGACACAATCTGTTTGAACTCCTCCC